GCCTCAAGTTAGTGTAGTGAACTTTGTGCACAACTTTACACTGTAGGAGGCAGTGCCTTGCACAGATTGAAGAGGAGTGAACCAACCGTAAAACTTGTTGCCAATAATCATCGGGCAGTGTGATTCCAAGCTCCTGCTCCCAAGAATCCTTGGGGCCGGTCGCTGGGCTGTCAATAGCAGAACTGATAAGGCTGTAAATGCTAGAAATGAGGCGCTTTTGTTCGGGATCAAGCGCCACTAACAAGTCAAGCAGGGTTTCTGGGGGACGACTCGGGAATTTAGGGTTCTGATTCTGGACAAAATGTCTTGTCTGAAAAAAACGAAATAGGTGGGTTCTAGGCAGGTCGAATTTCTTCGAGAGCTCAGGGAAGGACATAAAAGTCCCCTGGTTGTAGAGGTCCCTACATTTGGTTAACCCTTTGTTAAACCAAGTCCGAAAGGCCATATCGGTGCAAGAGGGCAGGAATACGTGGTTATTTACAATGGGGGAAAGATCTGAGGCCCTATGGAGGCCTAGGCTCTTCCTAAATTGAATCCAAATTCTAATGGTGTTAGTTACCACTGGGTTTGAGGTGAAGTTGGAGGTAGACAGAGGGAGTTGGGAACAAACCAGGGAGTGAAGAGAGAGTTTAGACGATGCAAGTTCCATATCCACCCACGTGGGGCGTAAGCCGCCTGCAGCATTGTTAAACCAGATTTCCTTGTTTAGCGACACACAGCCAAACTCAACCTGAACACACACAAAGTCACAGCCGAAATAAAAACAATAAGTGTGGCTTAATATTGAGTAAGAAAAAGGTTTATAGGTTGATAAACGCTGTGAGAATGGGTCTGCAGAGAGAATTTTGCGCGATCCCAACTGTCTGTTATCAGCCTGCAGAAGGGAGCAGAAATCAGCAGGGCTGCCTGCACTGAGTTTGTGTGTGGATTGGTCAATTTGGACCAATCAGCGGGGGCTTACCGTAACGGCTCCGCGGACGTAGCGGGGGCTTAACGTAACGGCTCCGCGGACGTAACGTAACGGCTCCACGGATTGGCCCATTTAGTTCCGGGTACGTGCTTACGAAAGCACGTATCCGGAACTAAATGGACCCGTACCCGGAAGAATCAAATGACGATGACGTCATGATGACGTTTCACCAACGAGGCGTTTTGGGGAGGTATTTTCTGTGTTAGAGTTTTACTCACTACAGGGTGTACTTTGAGGGTTTGACTCTGCACACCGTTTACATGCAGAAAAACCTTCATAACACACAAGGGGACAGGTAATAACTGGAAAAGCATGACATGTGGCCTTTAAATATATTCTCAGAGAAAGAGGCCAGACAGAACTCTACCTTTTTCTCTGGAAGTTTTCCCAGGCTTGTGGATAGAAGGACACAGACCAGGCCACAAAGTAAATCCAGCCAATCACCCGACTGATTATTGACAGGGTGTTGCTATGGACAACCAGGAAGTGGATTCTGACAGAACTAGAGGAGAGAGAATAAGGCTTACAGTCAGTGAGGGTGCAGCATGTTATTCTTTGTGTAAGGGACAGATTGTGAAGTATTCTGATTGATTCTGATGTTATGCAGACACCCACCTCTTGAGCTCTGTGTTGTTGGTAAGCAGGTATGAGGTCACCTGACCAACATCGAGGGCCGTCACATTGAAAATCACTGAGATGTCGTTCTCTGGCAGCAACACCTAAACAGAGACAACAGCACGTCTTCTCTGTGAGTCGAGTCAAGCAAACGTCTCTTTTATTATCTTGGGTCAAAGTTCACAGTTTGGAGGATGAGGACTGTGTTTCTCCCTGTATTTGGTGTCATGTGTTACCTGCTCAGGCAGTGTGATCACTGATGTGTAGTCGGGCTTGGAGCTGAAGGAGATGTTGAAGTGAATCACAGCAGTCTGGTTCACTGGGGAACTAGAGAAAGACAAGAATGCAGTTAGGCAAAAAGCTGCTTTAAAAGTTAAAGAAGCACTGAGATATGACCTATAGTTACAGGATCTGGATTTACATTTAAATAGCGGAGCACAGTTTCTTTTTTAACTGTTTCAAGTCCACAACTTTGCCAGGAGACAAAAGCTGAACATGAGCAGCTGTGGTCTAAGAAACTTTAAAAAAAAAGCTGACTGTGTGTCAGTCACAGAGAGAGAGGTCAGAGGGCTTACTCATTCAAGAACACACAACTCGTCCACAGTCTAAAACAGATCAGAGAAGAGCAACATCAAAAATATACTAACTAAAGCAGGAAACTGTGTAGAATGGATCCCGCTATGGGTGTAACTAGCTATGGGTGCAGCACACTATAAATGCAGCTAGCTAGGGTGTAGCCCGCTGTGGTTGTAGCCCGCTATAGGTGTTGACCACTATGAATGTAGTTAGCTATGGTTGTAGACAAACATGTACGTAGCACACTATTGGTGTTGCCCCCTATGGGTTCATCCCACTATGGGTCTAGCATCCAAAGAATGTAACCTGCTATGAGTGTTGCCTGCTATGTAGCCTGCTATAAATGTAGCACGTCACGGTCAATCTGTTGCAGAATATGAGGGAAGTCAAAGGTTGTTTGTATCTGAAACTCAGGCAGCCGGTGCCACTGAAAATGCTCATGCATTTACAGTTCATGCCCTTAGCAGACTGTTAAGGGAGCAAAGGAGTCCAGACTCCAGTCCCTCTGTCCATCACTACAGTGCCTGGAGTGGAGGCTGCAGGCTGACTATCCTCACCTGGAAGTAAGGCTGATGTTGGCTCCAGAGTTCTTCTGAAGTGTGAAGACATCTGGACCCAACAGATACACGCTGGACTCTGGAGAACACACAGAATGTTTTTTAGGATAAAGCTTTGGAAAACCAATCAAAGGTTTTAACAGAAACAAACATATTGGTATGCTTCATTGGAAAGCAGAATGTGTGAAGTGTATAACATCTGAAGGCTGACCCACTGTAATGTGGTAGTGAGAATACAGTATTACAGCTGTTCAATCTTGAGTAGTTTGAAAAAGGAAAATAAAATGTGTGATATACTGAATAGATTTTAAAAAATGATGATTAGGCAATATAAAGTGAGGTTTGAACATAAAGTCAAATAAGCTTTAAATATATTTGATATACATACATTTTACTGTTTTTATTTTTCATTTTATGAATTGTGACAATTGTAAATAAAAAGGTTAATAAACTAAATGTTTCCACTATGATACGTTAACTTTGGTTTGATAATAATTCAAAAGTAATGGCTTATTGTTTCTTTATTATCTCTGTGTGTATTCGACTTGAAACCGAACTAACTATAATATAATTTCAAATTTTACCATTATCATAATCTTCACGAGGTAACTACATGCTTCAACGATGGTGGAACATCCAAACAGTGTGTGTATAAACATTTAACAGCCAGTGAGTGTGTGTGAGCGCAGTGAACAGAAACAGCTGTTAGTCACCAGAGAAGTGTGTGAGCGTCCACAGCAGCAGCAGCAACTGAGCGGGGAGCCGTCTCAGTGCTGAGCTCACAGAGAACATCCTGCTGCCAGCCTGCAGCCTGAGACAGACAGGCAAAATAACAGAAAACAGTGAATTCAGACACTTTATGATGGTCACAAGGCCATTTTCTATTTATTTGGGTTCAATGTACAGCAGGTGTCATTCAGAGAATAGCTTCTGCTGCTGTCAGCCCTTTCAAATCAGATACATATTTACTATGGCTGCATGATTGAGAAAAAATTACACATCGCGATTAAATTGACTTATTTTGCAATTGCGATATGATTCGCAATATAAGAGGGAATGACCATTTTTTAAACATTACCATTGAAAATATATTAATATAATCATGGTGGGATTTTTAAGAGGATCTGTGGCGGACATTTTGTATTGAAGTATGTAGAATACCGTTTGTAGAGACTTCTCGGTGGCACCAAGATGCTCGATTAAGATATTTTCACATATTTTGCCTTTCACTAAATATTGAGATAACTGCAATTTGGATATTGCACTAGTCAATATTGCAATTTCGATAAGACTATATTAAATATCATGAAATGGTTTAATTAAGACCTCAATACCAGTAATGCAGCAGAATTGTTGATATTGATGCTTTCATAAAAGATACACAATGAGATTTTTGATAAATAATCATTAGTAAAGTCAGTGGATAAAACGACTGAGTGGGTTAGACCAATAATATAAAATGTTGAATGACATCCCTTAACTGTAATATAGCGTTTAAAACCAAGAAAGATACAGATTTCAGAATCTAACACAATGTTTAAACCTATATCACGTTATCTATTTAACATCAATATGTTGCCCAGTCCCAGGTGAACTTAATGTTACTTTATAGCTTTCTTGTAGTTCAACAACATTCATAATTGCAATGTCATTGAAGAAGTGATTTTCTTCTGTGCTATTGTTTGAGAACAAACTACTGAAATACAAACAATTTCGACCTTTGCTTCTCTATTTTAATGAGCTGTAAACGGTGCGAGCAGAGGAGACGCGACATTTTAATGGCATGTGAATTATAATTGATTTGTATTAGAAGTTGTCAACATTTCGTTTCAATTGTAGGCTACATAGTACATTTGATACATTTTTTTACAAAGTAGTTTGACATTCTTCTATCAGTACTTACTAGTCAAACTTGTTCCAGTCACTGTTAGCTTGTAAAGCTTTGAGAGTAACGTTAGCATCCCCAACA